ACGAGTCGAGCGCCTTCACCAAAATACGAGACTATTCAAGAAGTCCGCCGATTCTCTGGATGACACAGTTTGTGTATATAAATGAAAGAATTTTTATTTGGCAGGCAGTCAAGAAGATCGGTAAACGCGGTTTACTTGTACGAAACGTGAAATAAATACATTTGTAAAGTTATTTAATAAATTAGTAATTTGCTATCGTGAGTTTTAATAAATTAGATTATAGACAATAAATTAGAATAAAGACATTATAAATTCCGAACTATATAAATATAAACAATAGAATGAAATGCCATCTGGAGTAATGTTTGTAATGTCGAAAAATCTGCCTACATTAATGCAGATATTTTTTTTAAATTGGTTGAAAAATTTATTTATTCATCGAAAGTCTCAAGGCAAAGTTTTGCTGATATTATAAGGGCATATATCCATACTGCATCAGTGGAAGTATTATAATGCACTGAAAACAACAAAATAATAATGTGCTTACCCAGTCACACCATGCATTTTTTGCAGCTGTTGGACTGAGCTTTTTTCAAATCTTTAAAGGCTAATTTTTACTTGAGATGTCAGAACTATATCAGAATAACCCAATAAGAAAAAAGAAAAATTACATGTTATCAGTTTAATGAGTTGTTTGAAATAAGTGGAAAATCTCAGAACAATGAAAAATGAAACATCTAGATTTGTTGCCACAGGAATTGTACCCTTTGAACCCGATAAAATTCCAGAACACACTTTTTTGTCCACAAATGAGAGCTCCTCAGCTGTAGCAGAAGAGCAAAGTAAAACAGCAATAGATCTAAATATTTTACCAACCAGGTCCTTTACATGCAGACATTACTCTAGTCTTTGATGAAGAAACTGCAGCTGGTACCTCTAATGTAAACTTCACAGTTTAATGTTCATTGAAAATGCAAATTCAAAAATTAAGCCAAGGATATCTTGGACATCCTGCAAAACAAATTATTTTAAATATCATCTAAATGTTTAACTACCATCTAAATTTAGAGTGGTTAAGTTTAATCAATAAAGTATATGCTATAATGGTACTATTTCTAAAATATGCAAAGAAGCTAAGGAAAGAGGACTAACACCTGTAAAAAAAAACATACCAAAAGTTAAGTGATCAGCAAAAAGTTCACTTACAAAGCAGTAGTTCATATGCAGATCTACACCATCATACATAGTTTAAAAAAAACTCAGCAGACTATCATGATGAGATGGATGGTCCTATATTTGAACAATGGTTTAAGGAAAAGCTGCTTTATAATCTCCCAGGAAAAACTGTTGGGTTAATGGACAACACCTCATACCATTTGAGGAAAAGATATCTTTTTTGAAGAAAATTATTTAAAATCAGAGTTTATGGAAGTTGTAAACACATTCAAGAAGAATACATAAAATATAAAATCAATGAGATGTGCAAAGAGAAAAATATTGCCATTCTGAAACTATCTCCATACTATTGTGAGTAGAATCCAATTAAAAAGGTATGGAGTCAGGTCACAAGAAATGAATTTGGTGTATTAACAGTGGACAACTGAAAAAACTATTGTAAACTTGATATTAAGGAAGAGCAAAAATTTTGGGTTATTGACGGGTTAATGGACGATACTGATCCTGTGGTAATAAATGTGATGGTTAACAGTAAGCAATGACAGTGATAGCAATGACAGTAATAGCGATGATAGAGAAGATGAGCATGATATGAATATGCAGTGCATAAATTATGTGATGTTTGAGCGTAAAATACTCCGCAAAATATTTGGAGCTGTAAACGACCAAGGGCAGTGGGACAGAAGATATAATTTTGAATTGTATCACTCTTTGATAAGCCAGATATCATAACGTTCATTAAAATACAGCGACTTAGATGGGCTGGACACATAATACGAATGCCAGAAAATATGATTGCTAAAAAGCTAACCACAGGACACCTGTAGGAAAAAGAAGCTAAGGCCGACCGCGAAATTAGGTGGTTAGATGGAGTGGAAACCGACTTACGAATATTAAAAATCAGAAGATGGCAACATGTTGCCAAAACCAAACAGAATGGCGGACAAATCTTAGAGCAGGCCAAGATCCCACAGAGGATTGTCGAGCCAAAGATGATGGATGATGAAATTATGTGATGAAAATCAGCAGACATAAAGTGCCAAGTCTGGAATGTATGCAAGTGATAGTCTGACAAAAAAAGAAAATTAGGTAATAGTGAGAAAAATTTCAAATAATAAAATATTGTTTTTAAAGGAAATGCATGTTATATACGAGGAAAAATTTTATGTAAATAAATGAAATAAAAGTTGCACTTGGTTTTTTATCTTTAGTTAAATCTTATCTAAAGTGTTAATAAACATGTAATGTTAAACAACAGCAAAATTTAACTACTTTTATCAGACCTATAATAATTACATATCTGTTTATTGTTCTAAAACTATTTTCTTGTGGCATTTTAAATTAATTACTATTTAACTGGGAATAAGCCACAATTAAAGGTTAAATTACGTTTATTGACGTTTCAAATTCCACTTCGGAAATTGTTCTCAAAAAAAAAAAAAAAATTAAATTGAAATGTAAATAAATGTATTTTAACCTTTAATTGTGGCTTATTTCCACTTAAATAGTAATTACATATCTGTTTATTAAAAAAATGTAAAGAAATGATTTATAATGCATTATTCTGTATTCAACTATGTATAAGTATGTATCCACTTATTAGTGAAATTAGTTAACTACATCTACACATTGCTGAATATGAATATATGAATGGCTGAATACATGAAATAAAGTATAGAAATAAACAGAACAATAGAATATAATAGGACAAAATACAAACTACATATATTACCCTAGGAATATACTTCAGCCCTTTAAAGCCCTTGTAAAATGATAATAACTGGTAGACAAAGCTAATTCTGGTAAGTCATTTGAAAAATGTATTGCTCTCGAGATATATGAATTTTGACTATACATTTGTGTGAGAGATATATGGATAAAACATATTAACTGATCTAGAATGTCTAACCAGAATTGCTGTATTAATCCTACTTAGAAGATATGAGCAGTCAACAATTGAATATCTCGGATCAGCAAAAATCTCTTCAGGTTTTAAGTGAGGACAGTTGAAATTTATTGTGGAGAAAATTGAAGTCATAATTATATTCAGCAATATGTTCACAAATGTTCCATATACTTACTGATTTTGTGGATATAGCATGATAGGATGGATTTCAAAGCAAAGAGGCATAAAGAAACCAAAGATCTAACAAGAAAAAAATATAGAAACCAGACTGCATAAATGTTGTTAAAATCTCTAGTAAATCTGGAGGCAAAAGACAAGAGATGAGTCAATATAGAGTCCTAGATTCTTAATTGCTAAAACTCTTGATACAATAAATTCACTGATTTCATAATTGTAGTTTGTATGCATATTTCTTTTGGATGCAGTTATACTTGTCAGCATTAAGTTCCATCCCATTCACCTCGCACTAGTCAACAAAGTTAATCATGTTAGACTGAACCAATAAACATCTGTCTTAGTCACATATAAAGTAGTAAAGTAGTAAAATTTAAGATTGTCTAGAAAACAGAGAAACTGACTACATATACTGGAAACAATCACCAATAAAAAACTAAATAGACTAAGGTGGGAGTCTTGAGGCACCCCAGATAGGACTTTTATTATGCAATATTGAAAACCATTCACCTTGACAATCAAGAATCTATTTGAAACATAGCACAGGGACACAGCTTAAAAACAAACTAAATAGAAATTCGTATGAAAAGTTTACATCAAGTAAATCAAATAAAGTTGTACCAGGAACAAAGCTCCAAAAACTTAAAGGCTATTTTAAAATCTTAAAACTCTTTAAAACATGCAATAAAACATCTATTTTCATAGTAAATTGAAGATAGTTCATTTTTTATAAAATATCTCAATTAATTTAGCTTTTGTGATGGAACAATTTTTACTTCTTTTTGATTTTTCGTATTAGTATTGATTTGTCAAAATAATACAAGAAATGTAGATCATTTATTTAATATCTAGATCAGCTAAATTTTACTCTCCAAGTTTTAGAAGATATCACCACAAAAACTAATTGTTTGCGAAATATGACTTATGTAAGGAGTCTACTGAGAAATAAGTGGAAAGACTTGAAGGTGTATTATATAAAAACTATATCAAGAAATTTCCTCTTGAGTTTTTACTATTCAAAATTCTGTAAAATGTATAGTTTTTTTACTTATTTTGAGTGTTTAACAAAAATATAACTTTTGATATCTCCACCCACCGCAAAATAATTATATCTTATAACACTTACCAGAGAATCATCCCGTTGTATAAGCCATATACTTTTAACATCATCAATATTTGTATCTGTATTGTCTACCATTGACCCCAAATGTACTGGCGCATTTAAAACTTTCATAGCCCGTTGGTAGCCTTTTCTCCTTTATCTGGTTTTAACATGCATAAAAGATCATTGCAGATATTTCTAAAATTAACAGAAATTATACTACCTAGTGCATGTTTCTTAAACATCATTTACCTAATATCATCTTCGGACTTGTCGTTCGAAATTTCTTTTAGAACTTCTCCTACTGCATCATATACTTCTTCACTATCCTCAAAATCATCTGCACCGTTTAATAATACACCTAAAACATTTTTGAGTTGGCAGAGTAATTTAGAAATTTGTAATAAATCATCCATAATAAACAAATTTACCTTCTACATATTGTTTAAGATCTTCATCTATTGCAGGAAAAACATTTTTAATGTACTCACTACACGTCCCCATTGTTTAGAATAGTAAAATCAGATTTTCCTATAAAAATTTATGTGACAAATTACCCTAACCTAAAACCACCGTGCAGTTAAGACGGTGACACAAAAGAAGAAAACACAGTAAAATGTCAAAAATGGAGAAGGAGAAAATGTAAAGCTCTCTCTCTCTATTGGTATTAAATCGATTATTCCCTATTCGTATTCAGATTCCGATTTAAGTATGAGTCATGCGTCATTTTAATCGAGAGTCGGTGTTTTGTCAATATTTAAAATTAACCTTAAACGCTATATCAAACGTTTTTCCCGTTAAGTTTTGAGGAAAAACTAATAAATAATGGCCGCAGCTGCTGCCGCAAAAATAGCCGAGGTACGCGAAACGACTCGCGTTGAAAGAATTGGAGCTCATTCGCATATTAGAGGTCTAGGGTTAGATGATAGTCTTGAAGCCAGACATGTGTCTCAAGGTATGGTCGGTCAAGTAACAGCTAGAAGAGCAGTGGGTATCGTTCTACAAATGGTTAGAGAAGGAAGAATTGCTGGCAGAGCGGTCCTTTTGGCTGGTCAACCTGGTACTGGTAAAACAGCAATAGCTACAGCTTTGGCACACGCACTTGGTCAAGATACCCCTTTTACAAGTATGGCAGGTTCCGAAATATATTCATTAGAAATGAGCAAGACGGAAGCTATAACCCAAGCCATTAGAAAAAGTATTGGTGTTCGAATTAAAGAAGAAAGTGAGATAATTGAAGGTGAAGTTGTTGAAGTGCAGATTGAACGTCCAGCTACAGGAATTGGTGCAAAAGTTGGAAAACTCATCTTGAAAACCACTGATATGGAAACTGTTTATGACTTGGGAGGTAAAATGATTGACAGCATTTTGAAAGAAAAGGTCCAGTCTGGCGATGTGATCACAATTGACAAAGCCACAGGAAAAATTACAAGATTAGGCAGATCTTTTGCTAGAGCTAGGGACTACGATGCCACTGGGCAGCAAACTAGATTTGTACAGTGTCCTGAAGGTGAATTGCAGAAACGTAAAGAAGTTGTCCACACTGTAACACTGCATGAAATTGATGTTATCAACAGCAGAACTCATGGATTTTTGGCATTATTTTCTGGAGACACTGGCGAGATTAAACCAGAAGTGAGGGAGCAAATAAATGGCAAAGTAGCTGAGTGGAGAGAAGAAGGTAAAGCAGAAATTATTCCTGGTGTTTTGTTTATTGATGAAGTGCACATGTTAGATATTGAATGTTTTTCATTTTTGAATAGAGCATTAGAGAATGAAATGTCACCAATTGTGATTATGGCTACTAACAGAGGTATCACTAAAATTAGAGGAACAACATACAAGTCTCCTCATGGCATTCCACTAGATTTATTAGACAGAACCATAATAGTCCCCACACAACCGTATGACGAAAAGGAGCTGAGAGAAATCTTAAGTATCCGCTGTGAAGAAGAAGATTGCCAAATGTCAGATAATGCACTGGCTGTCCTCACAAGAATATGCAAGGAAACTTCTTTGCGCTATGGTATGCAGTTAATTATGACATCTAGTTTAATAGCTAGAAAACGCAAAGCACATGAAGTTGATGTCGAGGATATTAAAAGAGCTTACCAACTCTTTTTTGACGAAGGAAGATCTGTTCAGTTCTTAAGAGAATACCAACAAGAGTTTATGTTCAATGAAATAGATGATAAAGATGATATGGAAATTGAAACAATGTAATGCAGCCACTTTTGACATTTATATTCTATTTTTTTTGTATTTTATAAGTTCGTTTATAATTCTTAATAATAAAAAGACTTTCTACTAAAGAGAAATAATTGCTTTTCATTTAATATCTTTTCTGTATATATTATAGCTAATGTTTGATATTATTATCATCAATCAGCCCTGGCTTCTCTAAGATAGACATTTCAATCTATTTGTTCTGTACCTGTGTTATCCAGCTTGGTCATAACGATTTTAATGTCTTGTTAATGTCATGTTAAGAATCACATAGATATTGTTCAACACTTTCTGAGCTCATTGGTGATTGGCTCATTATCATTAAATAGACATTTTTCATTTGTAGCATAACTCTGGCTTCCTCTAAGTCATCTATTGTGAAAACAGTGTCAATTAACATAGAGGTGATTTTTTGGGCTCTGATCCTCACTCTAATCATCTAAATACATAGTCTATGACTGTTATAAATAGTTTTGGCAACACAGTATCCCCCTACTGCACCCATCAAACAATTTTTATCTTTTCAGGCTTTAAATATTCACATCCCTATGGTATATTCTGCTATATATAGTGCTTTGTAGATAGCAATTATTCTCACTTATCAAATCGTTTGAAATATCGACTGTATGAAAATAATTGTTAAGTAGCACAAGAAACCATTCAAACTATGAAGATGTGCAGGAAGAATAACTAATCTATTATTAGAACAAGCCATGCAATATTAAACAGATGGATTGAGTGTTGCAAATAATTACTCTGCACGAGAGGAATTATGATACATGACACATCTTAAAAAGAATGGGTAAGAAACAACATCCCCATAGAATCGACTTCAATGATGGTAGTAGGGGACGTAATCAAAAGTCTCAAGAAGAGATCACCAAGAATTGCGAAGAGCTGCAGAGCTCTTCAAATACGGAGATAATATCCTTACAGATCAAATCTACATAATTTCCAAAGTCTGGAATGAAGAACAAATGCCAAAAGTAACTATGCTCACTACACAAAAAACGGGATACACTGGAGTGTGGATTGTAAAAATTACATTTATTTCTAGTTAAAATTACTAATATGATTATTCTTTTAGCATTAAACTGTACCTAGTAGATGTTATTATGTTAAACTAGAGCTGTGTACAATTGATGATAACGACTATAAATGTGTACGACTTATAGATGTGAAGTAATCATAATATAACAACAAATTAGTTGATGTGGTTATTAGAAATTAAAATATTTGTTTTTAATTATATTTTAAATATTCATATTCAACTCATGCCCACATGCGTCTTGGTCCAAAGAATCGATATAATCGAATAATAAATCGATTTAATTAACATAATTACCGATCTGAATTGGCCTTTTACTTCATCTAATTTTTTCCCATGTTTTCCAATAATTTAAGGCCTTTGTTGTCTATTTTTCATAATTCTGGACTTTAACTGATTTCTGAGAGAACCAACCTACAATTTTTGATATCGTTTTATTTACTTAATGAACAATAACGCGCTAAATCTAATTATAACACCCCTCTTTACCTTTTATTTTACTTCAGACTATAATAGTGACTATTAAAATAAATTACTTGTATATATGCGTAAAATAAATGAGTTATTTATAAACGACTTTTCATTCTTTATTCTACGTGATTCTACTTTTATTCCTGATTTATGTCGCCATCTGAAGGTCATATATTTCACCACATTTTCACTTAATAAAATGTTCATATGTCATTAGTCAGATATATTTTTGTAGACGTTAAGTATGCTGCTAAACTGTTCATATGAAATTTAAGACCTTCTGTAACATATATTACTAATTATAATTATTTTTAAATATCTTTGTAATTCTTTGATTCCGATTATAGCATTTGGTACAGTAGAAATTGTAGAAATTAGTTTATTCAATGGCCAAACAGCGTGTTAGGTAAGTTATTTCCTGGAGTTTCATATCAAAACAGTCATTCTAGAAATACTTTTGTAATTTTAGAGTGGATGTAACATATATTTAATATGTTTAATTGTTTTGTGAATTAAATAATTTATTTTTAGAAGTCGGGACCAGAAATATAGGTCTCCAAAATCACAGAGGCCAAGTCCAAAAAAAGGCGTTCTTAAGAAAACTATCAAGAAGAACAATTTTCCAACAAAATCAAGAAAGAATGAAGGACGAAGAGTACAGGATGCTCGTCAAAAGCTTCTTGGAAAGAAACGAAAACCAGTCGTTGATGCTAGAGACATATTAAAGACAAAATCAAGAGTTCAAGATGCTCGCACAAAAATTAACAGAATACGTGATGATCGAAGCACTGCACCTTCCAGCAGCGGAAGCGTAAAAGTAATTGGTAATAGCATTTTAAAGAAAACAGATCGTAATGGAAGAATCAGCTTAACAACTAATAAATCTAAGCAAAGGCATGATATGAATTTTGCTATTCAAAAGCAGCTTGGACTGATACCACCTACCAGGTCTCCAATTAAGAGAGCAACTACAAAGAGGAATGCTGCAGTGAATACAAGTAGTGCAAGTAGATCCCCACCTAGGTATGTATTATTTTGGTAATATATTAGTCATTTACATTTTTTCCTATTAAAAATCAGCTGTAATGTAATTTTAACCAAAAGTTAATTATAAATAAATTGTGTTAATAATGTTTCTGAAATATATTTGGTAAAAGTTATACAAGGAAAAAATATGTCATATCTGTCATCTATAATATATTTGCAGTCCAATTAGGTGTGACATATTTTAGGCTATAGTGACATTTTTAGACTGGTTGGGGGTCTGTTTGTTCTTTTCGTAACTTATTAATGACTGAACTCTTTTACTAATAATACTTAAATATTTCTTTTTACAAATGATACATCTGTTATTGTCAGTTATACTTCATCTAATTTACATACTGATGCACGTCATTATCTACGTCAGAGATCAAAGTTGACATAGTTGCCAAAGTATAAAAAATCCTGAATCTATTTTAAATCAAATAGGTCACATAAGTATTGCAAAACAAGAGTTAAAAAATAATCTTGTTAAAAACAATTTGAGCCCCTTGAATGCTTCGTATAAAGATGTAAAATGGAATACTTAAACAAAAACAACACTTTTTTCAACACTGTGTCAACACCGCACTGTCAAATAAGTGTTACCAATTTATGCCAAAATATCACCTTCATTTGATTACAGTTACAGTGTGTTCCGAACAAATGCTCTTCATAAAAATGCTTTATAATGCATTTATACAAATTGATTGAAACATATTATTGTGTAATTCTTTAAGTTAACATTAAAAGAAATTTTTAAATATTATTTCTAAGCGTATATAATAAAATATGTCTAGTGGCTGTAATGCCAGTGTACTCGGCAAAGTGATTCTAAACAAGAACACACCCACCACCTAAATATTTCGTGGTGGTATCATGTGATGTCACGGGCTATGACATGCATCGTTATGTAAATTAGATGAAGTGTAGGTGAAGTTTGTAGTACTACACTACAAGGCTAATGGCTAATACGCTCTTTATTGAGATTTATAAGCTGTGTCAAATCTATGCTCTGTTAGATGATGGGAAAAACCACTTTGTTGCAGTTTTTACTGCTGATTATTACTTCAGAGAGCTTTTTTATTGCACGGACATAAAAACAAATAAAATCTAGTCTTAGTTTCTACATGAGTTTTCTTTTATATACATATGTATTTAGAATCTTTCTGGAAACAGCTATATAGTTATAGTGTATTTTAAATTGGGGTAACTCAAGTCAACTTACATTAACAAGAATGTTTTTTGTTAAAAAAAGTGTACTGAAAAAGGTTCAAATTTTATCCAGATTAGAGGTGCTGTCATTAATTACAAAACCATATTATTTATCCCAGAAAATTCCCCATCTAAATTTTAGGGAAACAAATTTTTTTATTTGTTCCAAATATAATGGTCTCAAAAACATTTCTATACAATTTAATATAATATGAATTTTATTGTAATAGGCAACACAAATCTATTATGAGAGAACCTGACTATGAGCCAAGGGAACCAGTAAGGTTATATGATCCAGCCCTTTACAAATGGACAAAACCAGAATTAAGAAATACAGCTTCTGAGATGATAAATTCTCTAGAGGTAACAAGGCAAGCCATGAGGGAAGCTTTAAGAGAAGAACTGATTTATGGGTGGCCAACATATGCATCTCATAAGTAAGTAGGAAAATTTTTACTTTTTGTTTGAACTTATAAGTATCCTATTTTATTACAAAAGATGAATAACTTTGTACTGCCTTGTCAGAAATTAGCTACATGCTAATTTTCTTGGAATATTTCATTAAATTCGAACCTTCAAATTTGTTATTTTGTATTTTTTGGAGCTTTTGACACTTTTGAGAGTTATGACAACAATTTTTAGCTCATTTGCTGATATTTTTTCAGTTATATTTTGAATCAAGCTTTTATTTACTAATTATTATCTTTATTCCTTTAATTTCATTTATTTCTTTTGTTTCACTGTTTTGATAACTTATCTGATAAGTTATCTGAAAAATATAAAAATGCTAGATAAAAAAGTTTATACTTTCTAGTGAGGTTTTATTATTAGTTTTTGTCTAGGGAGAAATTTTATAGTGTTCTATTACAATAGTTTAAATGGAGATAAAAGGTAGAAGTCAGATTGTTACAAAAACAGTAGTCTTACTGAGTTTACTAAAAGCATAAAGACTTTTAAATTATTTGGAAATACAAATACTTCAAATTCTTTTAATTAAAGATATACAATAATAATTTAAAATGTAAAGTTATCTCAATGTTTATCGTCTTGAATTTTATGTCATTATTGTCTTATCTCCATCTAGATATTTTATGACAGAGCATCAGAGTGCGGACTCCAAGTAAAAATAATAATATAGCAATTTTCTTTTCGAGGCATCTATTTTATTGTAAAGAAAATTATAGAGATAAGACAATATTGAGGTAAAATTCAAGACGATAAACATTGAGATAGACTTTACTAATCTTTGAATTTGTCTGGTGCTACTGTTATAATTTTCAAAAAATTCACAAAATTTAATTTTGTTTTTATAAATAATTTCTCCCTTATGGGGGAAAAGTACTATACAAGCAAAGTAATGGCTTGATAAGTGTTCTTCTGATTTTTTTTAAAGCCCTCCTTTCTATTCGGATTGCTGAATATAGGCCTCTCCTAATTCTCGCCATTCATCTCTGTTGTTCATCAGAAGATGCCTTGACATATTTCTTACTCTACTATTTATGCAAACTGCCTGTGTTATCAGTATATCTGTCATATGGTAATTCTGCTTCTTACAGTTTATGTTTTTGCTCATTATATTATTATTTAACAAATTTTAATAAAATAATGCATTTGCAGTGCTTATCGAAAACTGACTGGAATATATGAAAAAGGACCTCTCCGCTCTTACGACGCAACTTTAAGGTATGCTATATTGTAGATTTTGCGACATTTTCAAATGATACTGCCTATAAATATTGAAAGAATTTAAGATACACCAGCGGTAGTAATGGAGAGATCATATTTCATCTGTCTCAGTGAGACTGAAAATCGTTTTGAGGGATCACATATTTTTCAGATCTATGATCGATTTTATATGTGAGCTTTTCGAAGCTAGAATAGGTTAAAAATTTAACTTATACCACTTTATTAGATTGCTAACTTTTATTTGACACATTAATTTAAGTCTATTTTTTATTATTAAGAGCTAGAGAGTTCACAGATATTTTTAATAGAAATGAAATACATGTTTTTTGACCAATCAGAAAAGTGGTGCAAGTCCGCGTGCCTGATTCCCGTCATTGAAGTTGGATATTTATCTTTGAAAATCTCACATAAAAATCTTGCATATATACATCACGAAACTGACTTCATTCATCATCTGCCTGAAGGTCGACTAACTCCATTCGAGGTAATATTTCTTCTTTATACACATCTTTTTCAAAATATACAATGAATATTTGGAACTAAAGCTCTTCTTCTTCAGATGCAAATCCACTAATGGATGTTAGCGATCACATTTTCCATTAATTCTCTATTTCTTGCAATATGTATCAGAGATTGTATGTCATTAATCCCTGTCCATTGCCTTATGTTTCGGAGCCAGGACATTTTCTTGCGTCCCATTCCTCTCTTGCCTTCAATTTTACCCTCGATTATAAGTTGGAGGAACTGGTATTTTTCATTTCGCATGATGTGACCTAGATACGCCGTTTTCCTTTTCTTGATGGTTTCTGAAAAGTTGGCGTTCTTGGTTTATTCTTTTAAGGACATCTATATTTGTGATTTTCGCTGTCCATGGTATTTTTAGGATACAGCGATAGAGCCACATTTCGAAAGCTTCTAATCTGTTTATATCCCTCGTTTTGAGTGTATATAGCAGCACTGACCACACGTAGCACTTAGTAAACCTTAGTCTCAGTTGAAGATCGAACTCTGAACAAGTCAGTACCTTCTTGAATTTTACGAAAGCTTGTCGAGCTTGCTCAATGCGACATTTTACTTCCCTGTCCGATGCCCAGTCTTCAAAAAGCCACGATCCCAGGTATTTAAATTTACTCACTCTTTCAATGGACTTAGTATTCAGTGTTATGGTGGAGTTTTCAAGTGCATCCAAGTTTCTGGAGATGATCATAAATTTGGTTTTTTTGGTACTTATTAATCTCTAATCCCATTCGCTTACTGTATTCTCCGATTATAGTGACAAGTTGTTGAAGATCGACTATGTTGTCACAAATTAAGACACCATCATCAGCAAATCGTATGTTGTTGATCAATACTCCATTCGCTTTGATTCCCATCTTTGCATCCTCCAAAGACTCTTGAAATATGGCTTCCGAATAAATGTTAAATAAAAGAGGGGAAAGCACACATCCTGTCGAACGCCCCTTCTTATATGTATGGGTTTGGATATAGAATTGTCTATTTTTAACTGTGCCGTTTGATGCCAGTACAAGTTTTCAATGCATCTTATGTCTTGTTGGTCTATATCAACTTTCTTGAGGATCTGAACTTGTGGTGTTGGACACGATCAAACGCTTTTTGGTAATCCAAAAAGCATAGGAACACATCCTTCTTCTGATCGTAACAATTTTGGACCAGCACCTGTGTTGTTACTATTGCTTCTCGTGTTTCTAAACCTTGTCTAAACCCGAACTATGAGTCACTGATGTCCCATTCACATTTTTTGTATAATCTTTGATGTAGTATTTTTAAGAATATCTTTAAAGTGTGACTCATCAGGCTAATGAGTCTGTGATCCTCACATCTTTTTGCATTGACTTTCTAAAGCTCATGTGAACAGAAATATCTAAATCTGGATAAACATTCTATATTTAATATAGCTTTGAAGATAGTTTTTGCTTTTATCAGTAAAGTTCCTGCTATGAACATTTAGACCTTTTTAAGAGTTTTGAATAAAGACAAATCATGAGTAAAGCCTCCAAATTTCTTAGTAAGGCAGACTAAATTCACAATTCCAACAAGCCTATACATTAAAACATCAATATACTCATATAAACTGACTAATTTACTAGATTGCAATCAGATCTTATCACTTGTGTCAGTGTTGCCTCCACATTTATCAGTTATTTATGATACCTTGTACCTAATTGATATATTAACATACTGTATCTGTGTACACTTTATGCCAAGCTCGAAATTCAATAGAATTGTCAGTGACTCATTTTCTAAGCACTAAATACTTAATTGGTTTCATTTAAATACTGATTTAAGTGATGGAATATATTTTTTGATGTTAGAAAAACACTTATTGCACTTATTGTGTAACTAAGAATGCAAACAACTAATGAACTTGGGCAGTAATTCCAGTATATCAATATGTTCAAAGATCTCTGATGTCAAGAAATATGAAATTGCGTTTAGAACTCTTATTCTTAAAAATTAAAAGTTATAGTCAACTGTCAATTGATAAAAATTGACCAATGAATGAATTTAATATTGCAAATATTGCCATTAAAGATTTTAAAGTAACTATGCGTAATTTTTCTACAGATGAATCCTTACAAAAATTAGTTTGACTATGATAAATTTACAAACTGCACTCGACTCTCGTCGCTAACTCCTCCACAGTTTATACGTTTATAAAGATAACCTGATATTCCTATTGAATTTCGAGAAAATACAACCGTTTCACTGTCATAAAAGATACGAACTTTAGGCCACTGGTCATAAAAAACTCGTCTGAATTGATCAAGTAATTTTTACAAGCAATATTTTACATTGTTGATCAATTTTACACAATTTATCTATTGTTTTTAGAACATCTCGTCTTCAGCCTAGTACATATATAGATTTAGATGCCGTGGACGACGAGGAAATGCCAATGGCTCCTCCTCCCAGACCTAACACCGTATCCTTGCAAGGAACTTCCCGCATTACTAACGTACATTCACGACTGGACGACTCAGTTCCCAGTGAATCTCACGGCATTTTCTCTGCGAACAAAACGAAAGTTGTTGTGCCCGCCGGACATAGGATCGTAGTCTCAAATTTACAGCAGACAGTCACACAGGACGACATAAAGGTAAAGTATAGTTTCATATAATTATTAATGCACTAATTTAATACTCATAATAATTGGAACAAATGAAAACTGGACCTTTATAATGTGCGAAAAATATATATTTCAAAATTATCTCGAAGGAAAATATATCTCGAAATTTACTCGACTCATTGCCTTGAGAAGGTTGCTCTTTAGTTATTTTATTACTAATCGCTTTAGCAAATACATGTATTTTTATGTAGAGCCATCGAAAAAGATCATAATTTAAGAAGGCCATGAAATCATGGCTCGGTAGTAGTGTAGTCACACTGAAATTATATCTTCAAACTTTGTATCCACATCTAAATTCAAGATATAGAAATATATTTGGTTTTTGATGATTATCGCTCCAATCTTTTTATTTCTACTTAATTGTCACTATGTGAACTTTCATGCACTTTCATTGCAGGAACTTTGGAGTTTATATGAAGTCAACACTTTCATAGATTTGTAATTTTATACCATTGCCATCAATAAATGTTCTGCCAAATGATCATGAAACATTCTTGTGCTTCTTCCACATTAATTTTACTGATAATCTTATTTAACAATAAAACACTGAAAACTTTGTTTTCAAACTTCCACAAAATTTATTTTAACTATTATCACTACAGCTGTTTCGGCTGATTGCCTTTCTCAAGTGATCTATTTTTGGCATGCGTTTACAATTTATAGTCTCTAATGAAATAGGTTGAGGAGGGGAGAACTGTTTGTCTCAAATTGGTCATTCAGAATTATATCTGTGTTTTTTAATTTGTTGATTTCCATAGATTCTAACAAAGATAGCTTAAGGCCTTTATTTTGAATGTGAAGAATTTTAAATTTGTCATTAAAAGAATGATTATGATCTAGAAGGTGAAGTGCGTATGTCGAATCTGTTTTTCTATTATTGAAAGCCCTTTTATGTTCTGCTATTCGTTTATTAAAGTTTCTACCAGTTTGACCGATGTAAGTTTTTGGGCAGTCGCCACATTAACATTAACACGAACAAGAAACATTGATTACTTAACGTTACATCCAGGTAACAACAACTGAGCAAGTGGCTCATTCACAGTTAAGTGACAGAAGTATTGATCTGAATAACCACCAATCAGTAATCTGAATATTGTCTCTATTAAATCTTTAGGTGAAAATGTAATAAAACTGAAATAAAAATGGGAATTGCTATATTTCTTATAGTCTATGAGTTGAGTGTCTCGAGAATATCTTCTTTACTTTAGGTTACATTCAATATGTTGTATTTAAACACCTTTTAATGCGATAAGTGATACCGGATATTTATGTTCATACAACATTTTAATTGAGTGTTTCTAACAGGAACTATTTGAAGACATCGGCCAACTACTGACAGCCAAACTAGTACGTCCCGGAGTGGCGGAAGTCGTGTACAAGAATTTGAAGGACGCTCAAAAGGCCGTCGATACATACCACAATCGACAACTGGATGGACAACCCATGAAATGTCTGTTGGTGAACAAGAGACCACTCAATTACCCCACAGCTGCTCCCATCTCGAAATCTGAATCGTAAGTTCATTTTTTACCTAATATATTAACAAATTGACGATAGATGTTTCGATGTCAAGGCATTTTTCGGAATTAAAATATTTCAAGATATTAGAATTTTTTGGTTCGTGTTAAATTGATCAATTTATGTGATAATTTTTTAGGCCTATGGCTAAGGTGGTATTATATTTATCTGACAATATTATTTGTTTAGGTTAGTGACCTAAGTAGTTTTTCCGATTATCTGAGTAATCGAAACGAAAAGATACGCCTTAATTATGATCGTCTAATTGAGTGTTTTCATTTGACATATACCTTTATCTGCGTTTTTCGATCAGATAATGACTCTAGACTTTTCTTTTTGTTTTTAGTGAGGTTTACTTTGATTTGAATGATCTTCTGATCAGTCCATATTGCGGATTTTGCTTGTTAATCTAAGTTGTTGAGTAATTGAGGGCTTTATTTAACATACAGCTTTTTCTGTTTTTTTTTCGTTCAGATTATAATCCTCTAGACTTTTCTTTTTTGCTTTTCTTGAGGTTTACTTTGATTTGAATGATCTTCTCATCGTTCCTTCGAAATCCTGACTTTGATTTCGTGACCTGTTTTTTCACCTTCTGTGATTTTGATTCCCAGTTATCTCTTTCAAATCTGTTATTCTTCTTCTAAATGTGGCTATCTTCTAGAGATGTTAGCGACCATATTAACCCATCTTATTCTATTCACAACAGCTCGAAATAGATCAGTTGACGTTAGACAAGTCCATTTCCTAAGATTGGCCGGCCAGGATATACGTCTATGTCCAGGGCTTCTCTTACCCTCAGTCTTGCCCTGTAGAAGTCGATATTTATCATTACGCATGATGTGGCCGAAGTAAGCCAATTTTCTGTTTTTTATGGTGTTGATAATTTCTTTATCTTTTCTTAGCCTCTGCAAGGCTCCAGCTTTCTGCTCCATAGAGGAGGACATTAAAGACGTAACGTCTAAGAATCCGTATGTGTATATTGATACTTAAAGATAAGTTGCAGAGAATCTTTCTACGGCTGTTGAAAGAGCTTCTGGCTTTTTCAATACAAGTTTTTATCTCGTAGCTGTCATCCCAAGTATCCTTAATATTGCAGCCCAAATAGCATATTTTTTCCACTCTTTCTAACAGTGTATCGTTAATTGTAATTTGGGGGTTTGTCACGCTGTTCTTATTAATGATAATTATTTTTGTCTTCTTGCAATTTAGTTTTAGGCCGTATTTGTTACATGCTTCCACATCGTTATCCATCATCCTTTGGAGCCACTGCGCACTATCCGCCAGCAACACTGTTCAAATCTGTTTGCCATTATCATATTCTTGATTATTGTAGATTGCCGATAAAGATGTTTGGTTTGTGGACCTTTTCATACTATGACCTGAAAGATCAATTATATATACTTTACATCTAATTTTATGGCTTTCATATAGATTTTAGCGTATTCTGTCAAGCCCTTCTGGAGGGAGGCCTTCAGAACTGAACATTTTTCGATAATTACTGAGCTTTATCGCGCTATTGCTGACTTGTTTTTCTAATGATTACTTCTGAGACAAGTTAAAGAGTACTTTTTATAAAATTCTAGTATAATTTTTCTAATGTGTCGATTTATATACACTGTCTATCATTCTAAAAGATTAAATGCGCTTACTCTCATACTCATGGAATGATTTCCTTAAAATTGGAGATAAACTTGAATTTCTGATATTCCTACAATTAGACCAGAAGTGATACTATTAGCATCGAGTTAGAATCTATGGATAAGCTATGAGCATATTAAAGTGTGTATTAAAAACGGCGTCAGTAGGTGTGGCTAACGATCATACCAATATGGTGATGGGATCAGGGCCTGACTCAATAATATTAAAACTACCTTGCCAATATGACTAGTTATTCAAAAGATTTAATCATAATCTACAAAAGTGCAATACATTTTTAATAAACTATGATTTATTTATCCCGCGGTAAACACTAAAAACACGACAAATTGTACATAAAGATAAATTAATACAGTCAAATAACAAGTTTTATCTGAAAGATAATAATATAAATAATATTTTAAAGGGTAAAATGTATGTAGGGTATGTAATAAAAGATATACGTTCGTTTTAAAACTTGTATATTTGATATCTACAAATGAACTGACACTTAATTCAGTTCAATTAACAAAGTTAGAAAAGCTATTATTAAAAAACAAAATTGAATATCTGCCGAATATCACAATAAGAACTAAAAATAATTATGTTGCAGTAGCTAATAAGAAATTTTAAGATATATAGGATGAAGATATTTGAGTATTCTCAAGAATAGCAGGATCTACCTTACTTATAAGATTTTTTATGAATACTATTAATTTATTTTCTGAAGTACGGCCATTATTAGTTTACTTTTGTATACTAACTTGGAACGTATTCGAAGATTTTTTATTAACATTGCTTGTACTGCAACTACGTTGAGAACAAGAAACCATTATTATGCACTATCACAATATAATATTACAGTTTCTATAAAAGTATTATAAAACTAAAAATATTCGAAAAACCACAAACGTAAACAATCATACACGATCTGTCAAAACGATCGTAACAATATGGCCGAAGTGAGGTCGTTTTTAGTCACGTGATGCCCTCTCCATAGATTCTAACTCGATGACTATAATAGCCACCTATCATAGTTAATTTGTTTGACATACAATATAATGATATTTTGCATGTGACATTTGACAGATGACATTTCGCATGTGACAGATGACATTTACCATGTAATAAATGACATAACATGTGACATATGCCATTTAACACATGGCAAGTGACATTTGACACATCAAACATTGGTACGTTATCTAGTTTTAATCGATTAAGTCATCTGTACTGTTGTTTTGAATGTTTTTGAAAACCTAGAATGTCAGTACCATTTTTACCTAAAACTATAAGCTTTTTGTTTCGAAACTAATGCTCTAAGAACCGCTTTGGTGTTTTTCTAAAGTTTTGTATAGGTAAAATACTGTTTTGTTTTAGGTTTTTGAAAGATCGTATCGGCCTACTATGAAAACAAAAACCCATAAAACGAACAAATGATGTAAGTTTGCTGACGTTGTTGTTTTATTTTTTATTTTCAGGATGACGGCATCAAGGAAAATATCCGAAATAGCACCGTGCCCGCCTGAAAATAAGTTAGTGCCCGATATTACTACAATACATAAAGTACTTTTTCATCGGAAATAGTATATAGTGTTAGAAAATAAATGTTTCTTTTCTTTATCATTAATATAATTGTTTATATGACATGAATAGTCTGAGAAATGCTCGAAAACGTGACAAAAATGCTTTAAGTAAAGTTAAACATTAAGAAATATGAGTTTTTGGGGCCCCTAAATTTGAATCTGTTGTCATAATCTCAAAATTAAAAATGTTGACTACAATATGGTGAACCAAAAACATAATATATGTTGTCCAGAGTTCTTGGAAATTAAATATATTGCTTTTTGTCTAATCTGAGTGAAAAATCAATGTTGTTGTTATATTCGCTGGTGAAATAAGCTGATTTGTCTGACTATTTCGAAGAAATTTACTAGTCATTGCAACCGTCTTCATTGTTCGAGAAGTCTATCATGATACATTGGACCAATTTGTAGTGTTTTGGTGGGCATGCTTGATTTCTTGATACTAATAAGTAAAAGAAAAAGTAATACAAGTTGTTGTCTCGTTGAATAATCGACATTTTATAGAATATTGGTTTAGATATTCTTGTTACGTGGTTTTTTAGACAACTGACCAATATGAAGCCAATCCGACTGTATTAATTTTGAATCACTGTTCAAATTGTAGGTATTCGTAGCTATTCATTGATTGCTATTATTTTTAATACTCTCTGTAGTTTATTTTTAGACTTAATACAAAATTGGAAGTTGCAGAAACTTTTACTTCAAACACTCGATAGCCGCAAAGAGTCATCTTCAGAACTTGGATTTTCAATCTCTTGATCCCCATAAGCAGCACTGGTGCAGCTGTGTGTTTAACCTGATAGGGCAGCTCGTTTGTATTGTGGATGAAGGTATGGAGCTAGTAGGTGATTGGGTTTTCATTTCTTGTTGAGACAATTGGGGCGTTTTTTGATTTCAATGGGATGCAGACCATTTAAGACATTAGAAAATAGAGTTCATTTTTGAGAACAGTGAAGTAACATTTTTAATTTTAATAGTCATTTTAGCTGACCTTTTAGAACATTTCGTCCACCTCTTTTAATTGCCGATGGAGACATTTATATTGTGCGATTTGGTTTTTATTTCTTGTTGAAACAATCGGAGTGCTTTTCGATCTTAATGGCTTCTTGAATAATCCCGAATATTGCAGGTGAAAGTACCGGAAATTGCGCAATGGAATGTAGGTTATCTAGTACTGTGTGTGTGGTCTGTCGAAAACACCTATTTTCTGTTCTCGATGGAAATATGGGATACCATGATGGGCAGTTGATTTGGTTTTCGTTTTTGTTGAAACAATCGGATGTTTTTTGATCTGAGTGGCTTCTCGAATTATTCTGGTTAATAAAGGCGGAAATGATCCATGGAGTGTAGATGAGATTTTGAATTCTTGAATTGGTCTGCCCCCTTTTACAATTATGGGGGAAACCACAAACTATTTTGTAAAAAGACGAGACACACTATTCCCTTGGAAAATAAAGTTCGAACAACAGTTTTAGTGTAGTAGACAATACAGTTCTTTTTCAAAACCATTTTCTGGCTTTAGGTGACGTTTTCGAGCATTTCATCCACTGTCCGATGTTGAATTGCCTCCATATCAGAAAATGTATCCCCAATGGAACACCAAATGTGCCTCGAAAGTTATACCCTTCACAAATATGTTATTGTGGATTGTATTACTCTCGCGCTTGCTGTGTATTACGGGAAAAACTCCAAATAAGATCCCAATCTCTAATAAATATACCCTGCCTGGAAAGTAGCATTTTGTAATGAGATTCCTGTTCAAAACAATGTTATAATAGTATTTTTTTCTTTCGTTTATTGAGTATGTCCTTGGCATCACATTGTTTATGATTGTGTTTATGTCCACTGCTGATGTACTCCATGGTTGATATTTCTTGTACATCCTTTTTGATGCCCCAACATCTTTTTGAGTATTATTTTTCCCAATAGTTTTATAGAGCGCACAAGTCTCGCATATATATTCGTTATTTTGTTATATTTTCCAGAATATTTAATATATTTCCTCAGCTCTAATTTCTTTTCCCAGTTTTAAACTTCTCTTCTTGACTCTTTCAACAGTACTTTCTACTCCTTTGTTTTTCTTTAGATTCTCTGTTATCCTTCGAAAAAAAACTTGTCAGTAATTTTTGAATCAATTATGATGAACAAAACAGTAGCGGCCTTACTAACTAACCTAAAGTAAAGATAGTGCAAAGACTCCTGGCCATGAAGCTGCGCGATGGCGGAGTCAGAATTCACGTAAAGGCAGAACGGTTCTATTGTTAGTGGATTTATACAGTGCGTAGTACAATGCGTTTCGCATGGAAGTGGGACTAAACCAAATTTCGTCTACAGCGCCGTGGTCAGGAGTGCTTGCACTATCTCTAATAGCTACCAATACCTCTTAGATACACTAATGAATGAATAGTGAGGTTGAGCATTTCGAATACTGACCTATGTAATTTGTCAAACTTACGTATTTGTATAGCATTTATACAATACTGTAATTATTTAACAGTATTGTAGTAAAAACAAAAAAAACAGTTTAGTTAATAATTTGTTTCTGATATGGTGGCCAGACTGGAAGATTTCAACACGGAACTTTTGAAAAATATTGGCCCTATTTTTAGTTTATATAAGAATGTTGTTCAGAATTTTATTACGGTATGTTTTTTTACATATTTTGATTGATACAGTCAATGTAATAACTTGTCTGAATGTATATTTTAACGAATAATAAAAAATCATTTTGGCGTCCATTGTTGTGTTTTTTTAAAACATAATCCTGATATTAACTAATTACAGTTATTTGAAACAAAACTCTAACTTAAATATGTATATACAACATTCGTAACTACTCTGAAGGACCTGGTGGACAATATTTCTCCATTCGCTTCTATTTTGTGCTTTTCTTTTCCAGTTCCTCACCTTCACGTGCTTAAGGTCTTCCTCCACTTTACTAATCCACCTCGTTCTGGGTCTACCTCTTCTTTTGTTTTCTGATTATTATTAGTTTAGGCATTATGTTTGCTGCCATTCTTTCCACATGTCCCAACCATCTGATTCTTTGTGAACTGACGAACTTGGTAATGGTAGGTTCTTTGTATAAAGCCAATAATTCATTGTTGGTTCTTCTCTCCCAACCATCTTCTGTCTTCCGTCCTCCGAATAAGCGTCTCAATATTTTCCTTTCCCATCTTTCCAGAGTATCCTCTTCCTTCTTATTTAATGTCCATGTCTCACCGGCATATGTTACTGTGGGTCGAATTACTGTTTTATATATTCTGAGTTTACCTTGTCTAGAAACGTATTTTGAGTTCAGTAGGGCTCTTAAACTACCTAATTTTTTATTCCCTTTTGCTATTCTGGCTTCGAGCTCTCATTTCTCTTTTCCATTTTCATCGAAGACTACACCAGGTATTCAAATTTGTCCACCCTTTTAAAACTATAGCTTTTACCTCTTACATACCTCACATTAAAGTCTTCTTTTTTCCCTTCTGTCCCTCCCATGATCATATATTTGGCTTTGTCTTCATTTAGTTTCAATCCGAATTTCTGTGCTTCTTCGATGATTTTCTTCACAACTCTTCTTAATTCTTTCTCGGTTTTTGCTAGGATCGTTAGATCGTCAGCAAATGCCAAGCACTGGTGCTCTTTTTCATGATCGTTTCTTCCACCTTCATGCTGCATTTTCTGATTATAGTTTCCAACACTAAGTTGAATAATGTAGTGGATAAAGGATCTCCCTGTCTCAAGCATTTTGCAACCGTAAATTGATCGGATGTGTGACCCTGCCAAGCAATTTCACACATAGAGTTATTAAGTGGATCAGTTTCTTTGATATACCCAAATGTTCCATTGCTCGATACATTTTGACTCTATCGACTTTATCATATGCTTGTCTAAAGTCCACAAACAAAACATGCAGGGGAACTTTACCTTCAGAACAAGTCGTTTGTATCTCCTTTAATGAGAAGATTTGGTCTACAGTAGATCTGTCCTTTCTAAAGCCGGCCTGATACTCATGTAGGATTCTTTCCGTGTAGCAATTGTATTTTCCAATGATCAGATGGCTCTTAGATATCTTTATTTTATATGCATGGATATTATATCAAAATGACAGTAAAGCCAATCATCTCAGTAGGAGTATCACCAAGCCGCAAGCCCTTATCTCTTGCCGTACTGCTCCACCATAGGTCGATCAGATCCCAGCATATCCGAGTCTAAGCCGCAGATTCATCTAGAATTTTAAACTGCTGCGTTAGACTTTTTGTTTTCAGTACACCGAGCTGGGCTCGAACCCACATCCACTGAACCATTCGACAGTGAAGCGAATGAGAGGCAGCCGCACAGCCCGCCGAGCTATCTGACCGACCATTCATCAAGTACAGAAAATAAAGATAACATATATCCCCATCCTCTTGCCGTAAGACCTGATGATGCTACCAGAACAGATGCGTTAGGTCACTGGCCACTTTATACCGCTAAAGAAAGATGTAGGTTTTGTAAAACTGTTTTTTAATTTACTTTAATTAAACAGTTCTTTATATATAATTAACTAAATTTTGAGGAGATCTTCATTAGTGAAGTTAGTACCAAATAGTGTTTCTTGACTGGTAATGTTGCTTATTAAACGAGTGGATAAGAGAGAAAACAAAAGTGAGGGATGTTAGACAAGAAGTTGCAAAATTGAAATGGAGATTTGCCGGACACAATATAAGACAAAAAGAAGACCGATGGAACAAAATTCTTATAAGTTGGAGACCGTGGGAATATAAACGAAGCAGAGGAAGGCCCCAAATGAGATGGGCAGATGATATCAAGAAGCACGTGGGCTCTAGATGGATGACTGTAGCGACAGACAGAGAAGAATGGAAAAGGATTGGGGAGGCCTATGTCCAAAGATGGACCGAAGAAGGCTAATTAGATAGAGAATGTTGCTTATAGGCAACCAATTCAAAAACCACTTTCCCCTGTCTCCTTTCGGTTTTTTTTTGTACCACAGGATGTTATTGAGTGTTATATAAGATTATGTAGCCAATAAAATAATTTTACATCTATTTTTGGTTTTGCCAGATACCGGGTTAAAGTTTCTCTCAGACAAAAATTGTCACATTATTAAGATATTTTATAAATGCAGTTAATTCTTCGATTTATCCTGTGTTTTGTTAGCTTTGGTAAACTAATAGTTTCAAGTTTTTACAGTAGAGGTCGCCCAAGCAGCATATCCATTATACTTACATGTTAGCCACGTAGTTTTACTGGAAATCTAGGAAAATTGGATAATATGGAGTATATCAGGAATATAATTAAATAAAAAATATTATTTTATTTATTATAATCACAAAAGTATAGTATATTTCATAAAGCGATAAAAACGAATTTAAATAGGTATTCTATGTCTAATAAATATCCACTATATTATTTTAGGCGTCTTAAACTACAGGGCGTTTAGAAATATTAATTTTTAGTTATTGGGTCAATAATTTTTTAAATAAATTTTGTCTATTGTAAATAAATTATAGGGAAGGCTATAGGAATGTTATTTTAGGGTATCTAATTGCGCTTAGGGCATTATTATTAAAAATAATATGAGATACCAACATATTTTATAGGTAGGTATCAAATAGTCATTAAATAATTTTTGAATAGGGTTGTTAACAATTAATAAATGGTCTTCAAATAAAAATTTGATACAATGATAGAAATTCGAATCGTAACAGTTGTAAAGTATGTGCTATAAAATAAAGCGACAAAAATTCCCACTTCCACTTCCTTCACGCTCACATATATTTTATTAAATCAATAATTTATTAAATTCAGTTTAAAAACTCTACAATCTATTATATCAAAAATAAAAAAAACATTAGTTTTTGATCATATTTAAATTGTTCACATTTTAGATTCTTAAGATTATCAAAAAAATAAATGTTTACACATTATATTACACTCCGGTGTATGGTGAGCTGCCTATCTTTAATACATATATGAATGAGCAGAAGTAGTTGACAAGTGATTGGCAATCGAAAGAAAATCGATAAAATTGTATTTATAGTCAATTTAGAGGAAATTATTTTCTAGGCCTTAAAATTAAAGGCTTAGAAATAGGACAATTTAAAAACTGAAATCTAAAATGTGAACAAACACCCACTGTACCATAACTATGACATTTGAGACATCACCATAATAGTTTACAACTACGTTAATATGTGCTATGTATATAAATACGAAAATATCTGAACCCACAAGATCCGAATACGCTTTTTTAAACTTCCTATCACCCTGTATTACATACTATCTCTGGTATAATTTTGTGATTATAGCTAATCTTGGCACAATTCAAGATATTGAGAATACTTACAATAAAAAACTAAAATCAGAAATGTATAATCTCATTTCACACCTACAAATTGGACTTGAATGGATCAAGAGTGATATTTCATTAATAGAGTTTAAATAATGTGTGTTGTATCTCAGATGTATCTTAATATTGAACTATTTATGTCCTATTATTAGATTTTATAGGAAGGGATGCCCAAGGAGGTTAACCACATTTTTTATGTCATCGACATGGTATCATAAATTTTATTAGCAAATACATATACAGGAAGTGGAACAAGATACTATCAGCTTTTATGATAAGACTGAATGTAGTAGTCAAGAAGGTAGGGGAACGGAGGGTATTGCCGTACAGCGGCTAATTCCGTACAATCAAGTTTTAAAGGAATAAAACGACATAAATTTACCTGTCGTTGTTACATGCGTATGGTTTGAAGCTGTCTCTACAACCGTTCGTGGTAGTCTGTGTCAAAACATTGTTGCGAGAGGTCGAAGTACTTTATTCTGAATATATCTGTAGTTTTTATTGTTTAAATAGTATCACAAGATAGTTATTTAATGACATTAGGTGTTTTCACAGTAATTTTACATGATTTTGTTTTCTTTTTGTTTATGATCATGTTTTCACATGATTTTGTTTCGACGTGATGGACAGTATGTCGGCTAAGTCGGAAGTACGGTACTAGTAGCGTCCAAATTATCGGTTTAAATCATTCCATTTTCTCTGGTAAGACCTTGATTTTCGGTAAATAAAATTTGATATAAAGATGGAGTCTACAAAGAAGTGTTCTTGATCGCTCAGACAAATGGGTCATACGTGCCATAAGACCCGTTCATTGTGGAGCAAAGTTAAGATCAACAGCTGCTTTTATGGTATTCCTGTTATGACTTTATCTGATTACTCAAAAAGTGACAGCTATGATCTGTTATTTCGCATGGGGTGAAAACCTGTTTTCTCAAATGAACATGAGACAGAAATTAGAGATCAAATATAGCTTCTGGCAAGTTTGTTTTATGGATTGACATTCATTGACAGGCCTAATAAAATTACAAATACTTTCAATAAAGATAGAAAAAAAACTGGTAAAAACCGGATTTATGAATTTTTAAGAAGAAATCTTGATATTAAGTGTCAGGAGCCTGGAAGCTACTGGTGTTAATTGAATTAATTTAGACGTTCTTTCATAATCTGGCCTCAATATACCACAAATACAAATTCCATCCTCATCGAATATTTACTGTAGACGAAACAGGTATCAATACAGTTTACAAACTGGTAAAATACTGCTCCTAAGACCACTAAACAAGTAGGAGCTGCCCCCACTTAAGAACGTTTGAAAAACATAACTCTCTGCTGTTGTATCAGAGGGGACAGTATGTTTCACCGTTAATTATATATCCACGTTTGAGAATGCATTCATTACTTGAGCAAGGAAGACCAAAAGGTTCTATCTATAAATGTACTAAGGCTGGGTGATTGATTGAGGAATTGTTCTACATATGGTTAGTCCATTTTACAAAATATACAAAACAATCAATAGAGCATTCAGTCTTATTGACCTTAGAAAATCATAGTAGGTACATGTCGTTTAAGAATATATGAGTTTGGTCGCAAAAATGGCATCATCATGGTGAGAATACCACACCGTGCGTTACACAGTACTCAATTACTAAATTTCACAGTGTTCAGTCCAGCTTTGTATAAAGAATGTGATACATACATGAAACTCCTCAATATGAAAGACTAAAACCTCTGCAATTGATTCCACTGTTTACTCAATCCCAATGTTTTCAGCCAATTGATACAAGAAGGAGATGAAAACCCTCCTAACAGGATTTCTGTTGAACAAGCTGCTGAAAATACAGAGATAGATCCTGCAAATTCAGGAGTACTCAGTTTATTAGATATTCCTATAAAATTGATTGAGTCTTTGGTACCTACAATACAAGATCAACTGAATCTGTTGACGATCTATCAGTCTATCAACATCAGGAATCCAAAATTCAGTACTTATCGAAATCTCACGACTAGATAAAGTTAATAATCCACTTCTATCGACGTTAAAAACCACTTATCCAACTCAAGTATAAATTCAGCACTGAGCGCACAATACCTTTCATTGAAATTTCCCAAATACCTCAAAAGAAGAACATCCGAAGGGGAAAGGTAAAAGGACAAAATAGCAATCAAAAGTACTTACCTCAACACCTATGAAATATGTGTTAGAAAGTAAAAAAAAAAAAAACTGCCAAAAAGATTTAACTAGAAAAACGGACTAAGGCTAGTACAAAAGGTATTTAAAACAGAAAAAATAAAAATAATGTAAAAAAACAAATTGCAACATAGAGTTCACCATTTTCTGAGTCTGGCGGAAGATAAAACGTTTTGTGATGATGAAGAAGAGTTAGATGAAGATTTTGTTAAAGGAAGGAGAGGTGAGACAAGTATTGAGGAACTGTGCATCACTTGTGGTAATTTCGGTAAAGATAACGAACTATGGTAGAGGTGTGTAAACTGTGGAAGCTGATCGCATGCTTTGTGTTCCGGATATAATACCCTCCGTTCCCCTATCAACGTCCTCAGCGAGCCACACAATGTAAGTCTTTGCATGTTGCTCTCTCCATAGGTGGAAAACATGTTGGGCCAATAAAGGTTAAGTTAATTCTCCATTTTTTTATATGACATATAGAGATATTTAGTAACTAGCAGAAACAAACTGCTAATCAAGTTATTACAGAACTACCACATCATCTAAATATCGAAGTGCCAAGACGTAGAATGGAAGGAAGGTATAAAGTAAATATATCAGAAAACTGTTGAGCACTGGCATCCCGAATTATTGTGATGTGTGAGATGGAATAAACTGTGCAATAGTTAATATAAATAATGTTACATAAGAAATAACTATGATATGAAATGTAAAAGTATCATCTGAATTTTCCGTACAATAAAAATTATACATTTTTAGGCTAGGTCAGAATTTTCAGCATATAATTTTAATATCGAGTTGAAGTTTTTCTTATAAAGAAAATTCACTTGATGAATTGTTAGAAAATCATAACTGGGTTTTAAAAATCCTCTCCAAATCGAATATTCTACAGATACGATTGTATTGACAAGTAAAATTCCAAGTATCATTGACTGTAAAAGATAACATTATTACCTACTGTCCTATTATTTTGAAATAATTGTAGAACTACATTATTAATGAAATATCACATCTTTGAAGACACGTCACTACATAAACAAATAAAAAACATACAAACATAGTACTATACAAAAAAATAAAACTGACATTTAAATATCTATTTTACTTCCTCCTCTGTCTGAGCATTTCCCTCTCTCTCTTTTTCGTGTCAGCGTTTCTCAACACCTCCGCGTAAGACATATCTAGCTTTCGCAACTTATGCAAATCCTGAGAGGCCGAACTAGGTTTGAATTCGTACTTATGGGTGCTACCCTGACTAGGTGTTGGAGAAGGGAGGTTTCTGGTGGATGGATAGAACTGGAGAGTGTTACCGTTCCAGTTACTTGGCTCTGCTTCCTGGTTTCGGTGGTTGGATCTCTCCCTTCGGCGCCTACCGGAATTAGGCCTGCTGGAGTAGTTGATCTTAGGACTGCCTATTATGTGAGTCATAGGAGAATCGGATCGTTCCACGTATTTGTTCTTGCGTTTTGAAGATGAGCGCTTTCTGACTTCCACCGAAATGTATTCCAGAGGTTGACGCACTAGAGGTCTTAATACCATTCCATCTGCTTCCGATTCGCTTTCCGGTATCGGCTGACCTTGGGACTGAATCAGGTTTTCTATTACCGTAGTAGGTTCGGCTTGAGAGATGGATAGCTCAGACATGGTGGAAGATACGACACTTTGACTGTCGTCATCTGGGAAATCAGGAAGTTGATCGTGTGATGGTGTAACGGGAGGAACTTTAGGTGCAAGTTTTACAGGAGTAAAATCATCTAAAAGAGGTAAGTCGTCACCTTCATCTTTGTTTTCCGCGGCTTTTTTGAGTACGTTAAATATTTCTTTAAATAGATTTTGGTATTCCGGTCTATCCCTGAATCTTGAGTCGATAGGGCTTGTATCATCGTAAATACTGAATTTGCAATCTTCTCCGTCGGCAATGGTGCACAAAAAGGATCCGACTCGACCTTCTGTTTGAGTGCATTTGTTACTAGTCTCGTCTTGGAATCCAGAGGAACTGGTTTCCGTCTCTGAAAAATCGGTCGGTGTCGAAAACGTTTTTCTGGTTTTCTTATGCTGCAAACTGTCACCATGGCCACTTTCTTCGTCGGTGTCTTTGGTACTTGCTGAGTTGAAGTCCCCAGACATCTGCATCTCTTCATGACGAGAGATAGTAGAGGACTTGATGGGCTTGCTGTGTACTTCCACAAGGGCTTCGTATTTTTCCACTAACTTCTTGTACGGATTAGGTGACTTACTTTGCAATGGTGATGGCTGTGGGTATCCCTAAAACAAAATAAAAGTTTTCCCTAGTCGAGGAACTTAAAAAGGTTCATTTTGATTAGTTAAAATGTTAAAAAAGCATGTTTCTTTTGTATTAGAAGTTTGTTAACTAAGAAATAAAAAAGGTCTACCTACTAGATTCAATTCTGCACATCTAGCGAAGTATATCAACAAAATGCAAACAAAAAGTGCCAAACTGGAAAATAAACATAGATGCAACAATGCTTAGCATAAAAAAGGTATTAGTGGTAAAAAAATAAAACCCCAAAATAAACGGACAATACAGATTTATTAAGAAATTATAAATCAAGCGTACAGGTCCACTACACAGATCAAACACACCGAACATAAAAAAAATCAACCGTAAGCTTAAACAGAAATAGTAATCTTATAAATTTTAGATAGATTGTGACGTAACAACTATAAAATAGACAGTGGGTATACGCTTATTATGTGCTAAAAAGATATTTGATCAATATTCTACAATAAAAACGATCAATAACTTGATCAAACATGTGTTAAACCATTGACTTATAGATAAAAAGACTGAGGAAGTCGGCAGTTTCCAACGTCAACAAGATCTCTTGACTAATTTCCTCTATCTCTCTCTTGCTCTTCATTTTATTTTACCCTTTCTCTCTCACCTCCGTATAAAAAGACAGAGACAGAGGAAAAAATTAAAAGAAAAAAAGAAGGTCCCTTGCTTGATAAAAACTCACAATCTATATTTTAAGTCTATGTTTAAACATAATTTATGCCTTAACTATGATCTAATCACATGAATAAACTTAAAAAAAGTCCAATATTTTGACGATGAAATTGTGAAATGTCCAGCTTATTTCCCTTTTTTTGACTCATAATATAAGGTATGCTTGCCATTACTGAATTTTGTCCGAGTCCATGTTGTCCGAGTTAAGTGATTTTTTTAATATGTTATAGCCTTATTCCTTGACAATATCGTTATAATAAGGTTGCTAAACAGGTAAATTTTCATTGTATACCAGGTGTACGAATCAAACTGTGTTTTTTGCTTAACTCACTAGCAAAATTAACCCTACCACCTTTATTATTGTTTTGTTTACGTTACCTGTGACAGTTTGTTTCCTAAATTTGTGTCATCGAAGGATTTTTGGCATATAGTCATTGTACGACATTGTTGCAAATCTGTTTCCGTGTTAATAACAATTCTTGAACAATTTGTAATTAAAATTAACAATTAAAATTGTAATTTTATATCATTGTGAGCGAATATTGTTTAAGTTGAAATTTTGATGCTTATTTATTGTTTGTAATTTTAAAAATCCCACTCGTTCGAACTGATGCTGCTAAGACAGTGGCTTTAGTTGATGCTGGTTACAGTCAACGTCATATCGCTGATATACTCGATGTTCCCAGAACTACGGTACAAGATGCCATCAGACGATTTCGGGAGACAGGACCGTACAACCGCAGGCCAGGTCAAGGCCGAAAACGATGCACTTCAGTTCGAGATGACCACTTCATTGTCACTAAAATATTAAGAAATCGCTTTTGTACCGCTCCTGAAGCTCGTAGGTCTCTTCTTGAGGTGAGAATCGTTAGTGTGTGAATATGCTAACTGGACTATGGCGGAATGGAAGAATATACTGTTCTCAGATGAGAGCAGAATAGTCCTAAAAGGTCCAGATGGACACCAACGTGTCTATAGGCGTCAAAATGAAAGGTTTGCTGCATGCGCTATAACCGAAACAATGACTTACCGAGGAGGGTCAATAATGATTTGGGGAGGTTGTTCTATCTCCCCGTTCTTCTAAGATTTACCCGTGAGTACCTTAATGAGGTCAGGATTCAAGCTCTACCATTACCAGCACACAGTCCCGATCTTAACACAATTGAGCATATCTGGAAGAACCTCAAAAGACGGCTAAGAGCAAGAGTACCAGCCCCTGTATCCTTTGAAGAGCTGGAGACAGCTGAGGCAGACAAGTGGCATAATATCCCCCAATCTTATATCCAGGATATCATGAATGGATTGCCAAACCAATTCCAAAAAGTCTTAAGGGCTAGAGGCGGCAACACCCATTATTGATACCCAATTTTTTTCAATTAAACTTTGATTTTCAAAATATTGTTAAATTGAATTTTCTTCGAAGATTTTATTCATTTTATTCATTGGATTTTTACTGTAACAAATGACTTTTTTTCAAAAAGATTATTTTTTCTCTTTCGCTGAGATAAAAATTGATAAAAAACATGTCTAGTTGTTAAAGCACCTAACTTTTGTATTATCCAACATAAGCGAATCAATAAAAAAACAAAATGTTGAGAAAGTATTTCAGTATTCTACAAATGCTAGAATATTCCACAGGATGATGCAAATTTTAAGAAAAAACACAGTTTGATTCGTACCTGTTTAGCAACAATATTATTATAAAGATATTGTCAAGGAATAAGGCTATAACATATTAAAATAATCACTTAAATCGGACAACAGGTTTAGGAGATATAAGAAATCGAAAATTACCCATTTTTAAGGTGGTCGGTTAATTTTGGCCCAGAGTGTATTAAATAAAAGTGAAGTTATTCTCAACTATTCGTAACAATTTATTAAATAAATTATTATTATCCATGTTTCAAAAGTTTTTATATTCTAAAGGATCTTCTATTAATAATTCTTTATTCAACATATTTAGTATTCCTTTGCCTATCCTCTTCTCTCGATCCATTTTTTTTCTCCATATATACTTTTTTTAAGAAGCGTATGATTTGTTTTCTTTATTGCTAGCATAATTATTACAATTCAAGATAATGCACGTAATTATAGCTTCTTTTTCTCAGTCGTTATTTACCTGTGTGCAGTGTTGCCAGATGAAAATTTCCCATAACAGTAGAATAGGACATAAAAAACAGTAGATAACAGTAGATGGTTGAGTTTACCGAAAGTACAAGCTGAATATAGCTGCAAATGTCAACCATAAAATAAAATATTTGGGTTTGACAGGTGTTGGGATGTTTTTATAATTCATATTTAGTATGTTTCAAATATAAAGAGAGAAAGCTTTTTATATTATTTTATGAATTCTGCAATTTTTATTTTCTATGAAATAATAACGAGTAAATATTTGTGCCTTTTCAGATTCATTGCAAACATCTTTTGTAATCTGGCAACTGCTGATTTGACGATTGCCAAATCTATCTCATAATCTGTCAAAGGGTAATTGCTAAAAACATTCTAATAATTAACTGCAATGAATCTCCAAAGAAACAAATATTTACTTCAAATCATGAATGTGTTGCTTGTGTGAGTCCATATCAAATAGGTAAAGAAATAATAAGACTTACTCACAATCAATTTAATTTAACAATCTGACGACCGGTTTCGCTTTCTATAATTTGCAAAGCATCTTCAGGTCGAGATACAAAGTTAAACTAATGATGCCGGTACTCTATTAATTGATGGATGGTAGGTCATGGTTGCAAAAATCATGTATTGTTGATTGGAGAACTTTAATGTGCTATTGCAGTTGTTTTGACAATAAACGGGAAGTTCTTGAGGAGAACAGATTTGATCCAATGAATTAGAGATAGGTATATTGTTGTTGTTTGTCAGATGAAAGTGATGTTCTTTACTATTGTATTATTTAAATTATTTACACTTATATCAGAGATATATTTTTTGGAATGTGTGTTATTTATTGAGTATTTATGTAATGAAGGAGACAGTTTTATGACAATGAATAAGAGTAGCTGTACCGATTGTGTGGTTGTGCAATTTTTGACTTGCAATTATCAAGTCTATTGGCAAAATTATTAAATTATTGTAAAGTCAACTATGTAAAAAGGTATATAAAAAAGTATATAAAATTATTATAACTTAAGAATGAACAGGGACAAATTAAACACACATTAACAGGAAACAGAAACACTAAATGACGGGACAAACATTGAATTTAAAACTTAAACTTGGGGATGGAAGAAACTGTAAGCACTACATCTCACTTGTTGGAAGAAATGTGAACCATTGTTTCTATATACCTATCTCTAATTCATTGGATCAAATCTGTTCTCCTCAAGAACTTCCCGTTTATTGTCAAAACAACTGCAATAGCACATTAAAGTTCTCCAATCAACAATACATGATTTTTGCAACCATGACCTACCATCCATCAATTAATAGAGTACCGGCATCATTAGTTTAACTTTGTATCTCGACCTGAAGATGCTTTGCAAATTATAGAAAGCGAAACCGGTCGTCAGATTGTTAAATTAAATTGATTGTGAGTAAGTCTTATTATTTCTTTACCTATTAAATATTTACTTATTCTTGTTTTATATAAATAAAAAATTGCAGAATTCATAATACAATATAATCAAAATGTATTTTTCTAAAACTTTATCTCTTTATATTTGAAGCATGCAACACATACATCACAAAAACAAGCCAATCAATACTGCCTAACTAAACCGAAATGCTTGTTACATGTTTGACATTTGCGGCTATAATCAGCTTGTACTTTCGGTAAACTCAACCATTGGGTGTTGATTGCGCTTTTTCTACACAGTAACTAACATAAGTGAAGCAAGAAGCAAATTGTATTTAAATTCAGGTTTCACAAAATTTAATATTTAAACTTATCTGAAACGCTAAATAATCTCAAATTGTACCAAATATTGTATCAAATGCAACAATATACCATATTATAATGGAAATTTTAACAGGAGATTTGAGATTCAAAACAGGAGAACAGGAGAAGAAGTATAAAAACAGTAGATCTCCTGTTAAAACAGGAGATCTGGTAACAATGCCTGTGTGCTTTGTTTACTCTAATCATAAAATAAACAAAATAGAAGAAACATGTATATAAATTTTCTGGCAACACTGTCTATGTTTTAGCTATGACGTCAGTTATTTGATAACATATTTACTACATTTCAAACTATTTTAGTATGTTTTTAAAACAGCTTACGGTTGAGTTCGATAATTTATATATATTGTGATCTAATAAATGGCATAACAGACACAA